GTAGTTTCGTGATTGCTACGTTATTACGATCATTCAGCAACATCCGAATTCTTTGAAATTCCATGGCTTCTCTACTCTTTCTTAAAACAATTGTGAAATATTCCGATATGAAGCAAACTATTAGGCAACTACGTATATGTTACTTCGTCCTCTTGCGAATCTTATCTTCTCTCGCAGCGGTTCTCCCTCTAACGTTTCGCTATCTCGAGAACGAACATCAAAAACGATAGGAGTCGTAGGAAATCGAACCGTGGTTCGTTGAACTCGAACCTCGTGCAAAACGTGATCCAGAGATCGTGGTTCCTTCTTGTGTCCGTGTCATCGAACTCCATGATAGAGATTCCGGCCTCGATTCCCTCGCTTTCACTGCAGAATATTTTCTAATCCGCAAGAATTGTTTCAAAACATTTATTACGTCGTCCGAAAAGCTTCTTTCGTTTTACAACGTTTTTCGTTTTATATTGTTTCATCGAATTACCTACGATCCATTTTGTCCTATCAAAATAAAGATCACGACGTTCGACGGATTAGGTTTCACGTTTGTATAAAGATGCATCGTTGTAAAAGACGGGTCTGTAAAAGAAAGACACTTTTCGGACAACTTAACAGTTCGCTGCAAACGCTTCCAAACAAATTTTTCTCCTAACAGTCTCCTAACAGCAGAAACAATTATTTCACGGAAACTAACGTATATATACCTAAGTAATCGTATTAATTATTAGATGAAAATTAACTTAATAATTATTCCATGGAGAAAGTTAACGCCTAACAATACGCGACGATTCTCTTTTTAATTATAATCGTTAAAGTATATTAAAAAATTATTAGGCTTCGTTCTACGTATATTCTGTAAAATTTTAATCACTCTAGTATAGCATAGTCGAATCAACAAGCTATTTTCGTATATCCATGAAACAATTTACCACGGGAAATAGCATAGGACACCATGCATCCAATGATGCCATTACTGAAACGAACGACACATGACAGCGTGTAATAAATACTTAGATGACTCGTTCCATGTAATCTTGAAATACTGCTGCTGCTGCTGCTGCTGCTGCTGCTGCTGCTGCTATGTTTACTCGTTCCAAATAAGCCGCAGAATTTCGCTATAATACACGTGAGATATAGATTAAGAGGTTGTTATGATTTCATCATCCTGGGGAGCGCTCTATTTTTCCTTAACTAGATTACATTAGCCAGTGCAATTACACGGGGCGACACGACCTGGAAAACCAATTGACCCAAGTCCAATAAAACGTTGACACGTGCGTGACGAAAAGTATGACACGACCCGTCAACAGGATCTATCAACTATGTCGCATAGCTGGTGACACAAATTTCCAGGTGATCTATTAATTTACCGTTTCCAAGTATCGTCTCAAATTGATCAGGTATTCTTATCGCCTGAATCAATGAACATTCCTTGCATCAACGTCAGAGTTTAATCGATCATTTAAATCGCCAGAACCCAATTACACGAAATCTGTCTGTCCGAACGAGGTGTCAGTTTCAATGCGAAAGAATGAAAAACACTCGCTATCGAACGATACACCGAAACCATAACAATACACCGAACAAGTAGCGTTTAAAGCAAGCGGGGAATTCCCTCGATAAAATAGGTCATAAATTCCGAAAAGAAATTGCACGAAATCCCTGTTGCCAAATTTTCTCTGCCGTCCCATAAACGAAGATCGACACCCCATAAAATTGTCCCGTAAAACTGTCAAACGCCTACCTTTCGTCATGTCGAAAAATCCCCAACATCCGCCGTGTCTGTTCCATTACCATGATGTAAGGATTATTTACTATACGGAGTCGACGGGTGGCCCGTAGGTCGTCGTGGTTCCTCGAGGTTAACTCGTTTGACCTTCTCCTACTGCTCGTGTGCCAAGAAACAGCGTAAGAGAGATAAGAAGGTCTGACCGATCCGCGATTCGTCTCCGTTCGATCCTCGACTTCCTCGTGTTTCGAGGACGCGGATCCTCGCGTGGATCGCGATATCTCGCAAACACAGCAAGATATAAATGAAACGTACGTCACGATCCAGTTGGTCGACCCATTCGATCCGGTACTGTACTCGTCTCGGACAACGTCTCGTTCGCTTCGTTTCGTGTTCTGGCCGAGTTTCAACTCGTGACCAGCTGGCTGGACAGCTCGTCTTGTCGCTTCACGCCGACGCTCGTGCCTTACGAATTGCTTCGTTCCCCGTGTATCAAGCCTTTCTCTACTGGACACGATGTTTGGCTAATAAGAAATTTATTGCCACTTTTTCCCAGCATTCTTTCGCGTATTTGTTTCTTTTTGGAACGTCAAAGTTTTAGTAGCCAAAGACAATTGGCTTTCGATCGTTTGCTCGTTTCGGTTTATTTCAGTTATCGTAGTTTTTCTGTCTCTTCTTTTGGATATTTTCGTTCCTGCTTCTTAAAAACGGATTTTTAACTCGGAATTGTCGTCGATATTTCTGGAAATTGCTGCTATTATCCCTTTGTGTTATGGTTTCTCTGCTTTCTTTATTTCGTTTGATAGATTCGTTCGCAGACTATGTGTTGGAATTTTAGCAAGTCGAAACGTACGTTTCTAGAACACGGTTTATGGATGCAGACGTCAAGCAAAGAGAGGGAAGTTACGCGCATAAGGGGATTACGCTTCTCAAAGTTTCAAGTAGAGATTCTATCGTAGAGTTGTGTTTCGTCGTCTGTACGAAGTTATTTTTTATCGGACGACCTTGATACGTGAGAGGATTTAACAAGCTTTGGTCTTCCATGTCGTTTCAAGTTCGTGTCTCTCGAACGTAAAACTTTCCTCGTGATCTTCTTGAAAGGTAAGTTTATTAATAAAATGAAATATGAACAAATACAAAAGGAATAAAGCCCTACGTACACCAACATCGGTGAAAAGTTTGCACTCATTACGTATTTCATAAAAACCAAGAATTTAAAAAACAAAAGTTAATTTAGAATTCTGCTATCTTACGAAACTTTTTTAATATTATTATTTGAATTAATGATAAAATTAGCAGCCTGGCTGGTAGTTATACAAACTATGATTAACATAAACGGGATTTCAGGAGAGAAAATTACTTTGTCGTTACATATATAATATATATTATATTTCCATATAATATATCGGTACATGTACATCCACCTTCCGATACGATACGATAACATCCATTATTGTATTTTTCATTAATAATTAGTAATGCATACACGTGCGTTTAAAATTTAAATAAGAGAGATGTTTGATCTCGTGTCATGAGAACGCGAGTTTCTCTCTCTCTCTCTCTCTCTCTCTCTCTCTCTCTCTCTCTCTCTCTCTCTCTCTCTCTCTCTCTCTCTCTCTCTCTCTCTCTCTCTCTCTCTCTCTCTCTCTCTCTCTCTCTCTCTCTCTCTCTCTCTCTCTCTCTCTCTCTCTCTCTCTCTCTCTCTCTCTCTCTCTCTCTCTCTCTCTCTCTCTCTCTCTCTCTCTCTCTCTCTCTCTCTCTCTCTCTCTCTCTCTCTCTCTCTCTCTCTCTCTCTCTCTCTCTCTCTCTCTCTCTCTCTCTCTCTCTCTCTCTCTCTCTCTCTCTCTCTCTCTCTCTCTCTCTCTCTCTCTCTCTCTCTCTCTCTCTCTCTCTCTCTCTCTCTCTCTCTCTCTCTCTCTCTCTCTCTCTCTCTCTCTCTCTCTCTCTCTCTCTCTCTCTCTCTCTCTCTCTCTCTCTCTCTCTCTCTCTCTCTCTCTCTCTCTCTCTCTCTCTCTCTCTCTCTCTCTCTCTCTCTCTCTCTCTCTCTCTCTCTCTCTCTACATCTCAGGAATCAATTTTATTAAATAGCTTCGATCGATTATTCTACGAATCGGCCGTGATCATCCTCGTCAGCGATAAATCCATAGGACACCGACGTCTGATTGTTAAAAGTGACTAGAGGAAACACCAATCAGAAGACAGTAAAAGACCCATAGGATTTTTCTATTTCGTTGAAAATTCATCGAATCGTTCAATTTTTGATCATCTATCGCCGATCGAACAAGATGACGGCCTGAAATATCAGAGAATCGAGCCTGATGAAATGTTTTATTCGCTATTAGTCGTTCATCCTGTCTGTATGCTAGTTTTATATAATCTCTTTCTTTTTTTCTGTTCTTGGTGATAATTATTTTATGAGGATAACAGGCACGATTCTCGATTACGCGATAAGTGTCTTACGAGGAACAGAAAGTTTCGAGGGATTCATAGCAAGTATATTGGCAATGCGGAAATCTATCACAAAGCAAAACGCCTGTTCGCTAATTTTTGTCCATTTTGTACCGTTTTAAGTTAATACCATTTAATTGAGTTTTCTTCGAAAATAATTATGGAGCATGAAGTAATCGAAGGCTGACAGAATGTAGGCGAGTTTTAACTTAAAACGTACATTTCCTTGCGCTAGATACAGACTTACAATTATTGTTGCATCGTTCGTTCAAAAACTTATTATCGTCGTTCAAGGGGAAGAATCGGTTTCCTTAACGTACGAACCGCTTCGTATTCCTTTTTTACATGCTACTCGATAGTTCCATTCGCCTCTTAGAGAAACTAAAAAACCACCTATAGGAATGTAGTAAAACGATCAGTCAGACTTTATTTCCTTACTTCCCGCTACGTCTCGATGGGGTTTGAGATTGCGCAAGGCCACCAAGTCCATCTTAATTAATAATAAGAATAAAGAAACGAAAGGACGCAAAACGTAATAATTTCATTTAAAGAATGTAACGGGAAAATATATAAATATGTAATAAAAAAGAATGAAAGAAAATGAAGAACTGGCTGTGGATGAAGTTTATCGTTCGAGTACAATAGGGGAGTACAAATCGAGTACAATAGAGCGGTAGATACGAGATGTGCGCTGAAAATATAAGCAAAAAAAAGATACCAACCAAAGAGACACATAGACTTGGTCGAGTATTTTCGACGATAATTAAAAAAAAAAACGAGGCAAAGGAAGCAACAGGGAAAAATACCATAAAAACTCAGCCTCTCCGCGATGCACATATTCGGAAGCTCGCTATTTTATCGATAGGTTTTTCTCGATCACTGTTTTTCTTCCATCGTACGCCGCAAATGAAATTCTATCGGAATCTAATCGATAACACGTGGAACTTTTAGACCGTGAACAGCGGACAACGGTAAAAAATTTGTATAAGAAAACCGCTTAAAACTGCAAAACATTCGCAGATGGTGAAAAGGATAATAGTATGAAAGAGGAAAAATATGGAGAGACGAAACGAAATCTTGAAATGGAATTGTACGAGTGGTGCGGATAATCGCGTCGCGTGCTAAAAGGAGAAACGTTCTCGCCGAAAGAAAAGGGAAAACGGACGAGCCGTTTAGCCCCATTTCTGAAACAGACCCATTCGTTGGCACTGACAGTTTGAGCCCCACAAATTGCATCTGCAACTGGAACTGTAGCAGCAGTCTTTTGGTCGATGATCACAGTTTCCACCCCGTCTTATGCAGGCTCGCCTGAACAAGTAGATCAACGAGGTACGTCTACTCGAGATTAGGGGTATCTGAATAATACGTTGCAGAGACATCGAGACAACGACGGGAGAAGGATGCGTGTAAAAATATTTGTCAACTTTGTTGTCCAACCTTCGAGCTGCATGATCCGTTAACGCTTTGACTGCCACCTTGGTCGTATATGACCGGCCACGGTTTCTCCTGTCACGCCACGGTGGTTAACTTTTCTTACAATTGTAAAAATTGTATGAAAATTGACATGAAAATTGCAGGAAAAGTTAGGGCATTTTTAATAGAACATCGATAAAAAAAAAATGAGAACAAATTTTGCATCTAACGGTGCACTGTGTTTGCATCCATATCTTTGAACGGCAATCTACGAATATTATTATAAAATATTATTATAAAATATTACATTAGAAAATAATAATCGTAAATGCTGCCTTATAATCATATGATCGAAGTTAGAAGTGTGCACATAGCTTACCATTATATATACAATGAGCAAATACCGTTTACTAATATCTTGTTTCAACGCGTTTCAATGATACATTCTGCACAGTTCGCTTACGACAAAATAACGACAAAATAAAATGCGAATGGTTGGTTGAAATAAACCAAGCCTTGTTATAACATGTCGCTATCAACTGTTAGCAAGGCGCCACGGTGGTCACCCGTGACCACCAATAAGATAAACGGTCCATCGGGGAAGAATGTTGTCTTACATCGTCGATTTATTATTATTTTGCCACTATATGCTTTGAATAATAAAAATACTCCCGTGGCGTCCTCAGCGAAACACGTGATTTCGGCGTGACAGTCAAGGTGTTAATTAATTTATTAACCGCTTCTCTCGAATGGAAAAATTATTTTTTCCATATAACTATTCCGTGGATAGCAGGATAGAAATTAAAAGAATTTTATTCTCGAATAAGAGATATATTAATCGTTGCAAATGAAATTCATAGTGCATAGAGGAGATCGAAATTTTGTTTAATTATTTTCTCCAACTGCTTTACCGCTAAAGAGTTTGATCTTTAAGCTTGTTGCAATTTTGCCGTCGAATCAGCGAATGAAAGTGCAATCTTAACGCGAATGAGGATGTGCAACGGTGTTTTAATTCGAATATCGCAGCGCAAAGGTTAATTGGAAAAATAACAAAATTACCAGAGTTCTTAAAGATCTTAAAGGTTGATTTTCTATTTAACGATTATAAGAGATACATGCAAGTCTATTTGATGAAAATATAAAAATTCGACAAATGGTATTTGCAAGAGGATGGGAAAGGATAAAAATTGGGTACAGTGATACAGTAAATACTCACTTTTGTTGAGCCGCTCTCATCAGATTCTCCAATGCGTTGTCTGTATAATCCGAATCCGCAACCTGCAGCGAATCTTCCTCTGTAACGCACATTGAAAGAGTCGTTAACACCGTAATTATGCTGTCAGTTGAACAAGAGATAATTACAGAAAGTAGAAATCGTAAAAATGAAAACTTTCATTCGAAAATACTTTTGCCCACTTTTTCCCCACTAACGGTAACAACAGCAGCTTTTAATACGGATCACGACGAATCGCAGAAACATAGTCGGAGAAACATCGAACGATACAGAAGAAAAATTGTATAATCGAAGGAATCCGCGATCAAGTTAAATTTTCATAGAGAAATCGCTCGATAAGAAGGAATTCTTTCTGTCGGTGAAACATTTCACTGTGCAAACTTTTACAACAGCTACACTGCGTGAATTGTAAAATAAGTACCTTTACAAAAGAATACATCAACGATTACATAAAATTACTAAGAAAGAGGACACTTTGAATAATCGAGGATTGCTTTCCGAACCGTTGAGTGGTCTGGTCTTTGGAAAAATCGGTTTCCTAACGAAAGGAAAAAGAAAGTATCGTATAGCTAGGTGGATCAAACGCGGCGGCGGCGTCCATTAACAGAGTTCATAAAAGGGTAAATTGTATCGCGAAGAAGAGGAAAAATAAAAATAGGAGCATTTCCTCGGCAAACCCTCTCAACGGATATATATATTTAGTCGGCGTGGTCGCCTACGTTCTTCTCTACTTATATTTCATGCAAATTGGTCCGCTTCTTTCGACGACACTCGTTTCGCGAATATCACGACATCCAGCTCGGAATTATTGGCTCGTATTTTACGACAATGTAAAGAGGATTACCAGGTGTAACACGTGCACCTGGCGAAATCGGAACAATAGCTTCGTTTTATTTGTTTGAAAAGTTACAGCCAATTAATCAAGAGACGCGTGAGAAATTGTGCAAATAATATTCGTAAATTCTGAGAGGATATAATTTAAGAGGATGAAAAAGATATTTGTAGAGAAAGAAATATATCCTACTATAAAGTCAGATATTCATATTGTGTGCAGTGTTGTTATCCTTAGAAACAATCGTTCAAGCATAATTTGTCATTATCTTAAACGAAACACGAAAGAATACTTGATACGCGTTACTTTATGAAGACACTTTGCAAAGCGGATCACGTAAACCATTGTCCTTCACAGGGAAGGTATCAAGGTTTGCAAAGATCTTAATAGAATCTCATTTTCTACTTTCCTCGCCGAAAGTCAAACATCATCGTCATCCTTCGTAAATATATTGTTTGAAATTAGCATATTAAAACTGTGGTGAAAAAACCGTGGTTTGTTAAAATTTCCAATGAAAATTTGTAATTATTGGAAGATTCAATTTAGTAATTTGAAGAAATTTGAAAAAATTTGGAGAAATTTTATTTTAAGAAATAATTTAGACGATTCAATCTCGATTTCGTTCGTCGGAGTTCAAATTTTCAAAGATTTCAATTTATTTCAAATATTTAAACAATCTGATACGCATCTGCTGTATCATCGAGTTCGTCAAGTTCATCGTAGAAGCAGCTCGAAAATTTCCCAAATAATTCATTTCAACCACCATCCTAATATTATATTTTAAAAGAAATTTTATATTCTGCACAAACCCGGTCCTTACTCTCTTCCATCGACGTGGTTAATCGGCCGAAAAAAAACCTACCCTACCCTTCCAGTCTCTTTCTCAAACGCTAAATATTTATCCACGAAATCTTATCATAAATTCCCAAATTAAGTCCTGTCCAATTTCCATAAAATTACCATTAAAACAAAATAAAAAAGGGGAAGCAATAGCACCGGTACGGATACCTACAAGATCAACCGATTTTCCATTCAACTTTCTTCAAATGTAATCATTTGAATTACTCTTCCTTCGGTTAGGTTCAACGAATAATCCACTTTGAAGTTCCAATTCCAATTCCAATTCCAATGTTCCATTTACCAGAGTAATCCTTTGATCGAATGGAAAAATCAGTTGGCTCGAGTTCCGATCCGAACTCGATATTAGAATGCGGCTGATATTAGAAGTCGATCCACCAAAGGGAATTATTCATTAATTCGTCGGGAATAAGAGCAACTCTGAATTCTAACGGAAACGGATCGTGTGGTAAACGCGCAATAGCAAATTGGTTACCCCAAATTGGTTTCCTCGTTTTCTTCGTCGTCTGTATTCTCATCAACAGCCTTAAAACAGGATTAAGGTAATGCCTTTGCCTCTCGTCTTTATTTCCGGTCGCGAACAACAATGCTGTCGATGTTTCGGTATTCTCGCGATACGTAAAAACGACGAAACAACCGCGAAATCGAGCAATTTCTTAGGAAATTTCTTCTTTCTTTGGTCAAGAGATTTTGCGAAATTTTACAAAGTTTTTTCACTGGAAAATTATGGTCGTTTGCTGGAACGATTCGGAAGCGAACCGAGCATCCAGTGTTTGCTAGATTTTTCGATCGATAGTCGTAATACGCGAGCAAAGTTATTCATTCGATAGAGAAATTACACGCGTAGTAAATCATTGTACTATTGTATCTATTTAGTAATATTTCCATTTCAGATACGTTAAAAAATTAAATTCAGATAAGTTAAATTTAATAAATCGTAATAATAAAATTAATCATTCGATATTGGATGATCTATCATTAAATTTTATTCGACCGAGCTGGAAATTTTGTAATTTACACAGCAATATAATTAACAGAGGAGAGAATAGAATTTACAAAACTTCACGTATGTGTTTATCGAATGTATACCATATGTATCACACCGTGGTAGTAAGCGAAGGTAAAGTTAATACGAAAAAAATGTATTCGTTTCACAGGAATTTCCAATATATCGGAAAATTGTATTTCGCAAGGTTCGTTTAAATTCGCGTAAAATCGTCCACATTAAAATCCACCGACTAATACACTCCATGTTAAATTTCGTATCGTACTGTACGCGTGTTACGTAAGATTTCCGGGCGAAGCCATCGAATCTAATTATCCGCACGTTCAATTAAAGTATCGCTTAAAGCGGTTAGCCAGATCGACGTTGATTTCATTTTCTTTTCAATCAACGATTGTTGCGTAACGCGCATCCATCGGATACTGTTTCGTTCGCGTCAATTAGTTACCACGATAAATATAATGTTACCTTGAAAACCTATTATTTGTATCGAGATATTCAAATCGAAAAATTATATTCCATTTATTAGCCAGCTTTCCTCCAAACGCTTAACAAGATTCATCGAAATTGAAATAAACAAATTTTTGTGTCAACGACTTTTCACACCGTAATCTTTTCACTGCTTCAAATTTTTAAACATCTAAATATACATAGAACGAAAGAAACTATATATATATATATATATATATATATATACTGTATATATAATATAAATATACATAGAAGGAAAGCAAAATTGACGAGCATTGGTTACGATATATCGACTCTTCGGACAAGGCATAATGTGTAAGTAATCGCTACTTGAGCGTCCGATTTCATACGGGTTTATACTACTAGTCGCACACTGCTCTATCCAGTTAAATACAACGTATCGCGATAAACTAAACTTTGTTGATTTTCTTTTAAATATCTAGTATAGAAGATTTGAAGTTTAACAAATTTCGAAAAATCATACAACATTTCCATCGAAATGTCGTAAGAGATTTGTACGAGAAAACGAAAAATGAGAGAATATTTTGGGAAGGAAGCAAAATTTACAACGAAAAATTGCTTTTCTGCTCTCGATATTTGAGATGTAAATTCATACTCCATTTAATTCCATTTAACTACTTAGTCTCGACAATTTAGAGTGCAATTGACATTTAAATATCATTATCGTTGCAATTGAACGCTTCGCGATCGTCACGACAAATAATGATTAGGATATGTCGATCTTTGAAACACGCTGGTTAAACCAGTTTAACTGGTTACGTTACAAAAAGCTTTACGTTACAAAAAGTCGAACGAGGCTCGAAAAATAAACGATATTATATTTTCTTCCAATTTTATCAGCCACGCGAAGCTCGAATTACGTCTCGTTATTCCTACGACGCTATCCAAGTTCACTTGAAAACGACCTAAACTAGAAATGTCAAAACTCGAAAGAATTTAACATCTAAATATCGTTCGATCGAAATTTAAACAAACTGAATTTCAAGTTAAGTTTCTACGACCAATGAGTTTCAACGCCCAACAGGAAACAATATCTACCCTTTACTATAAAATTTCTAAATTGACCAAGATTTTGCGAATAGCGTCACTCCCGAAAATCTCTACCATCTAAAGACAAACAAGCTTCGTTTCAATCTTCCATCTACGATTCACCCCACAGTCATCACACCGATCGTCGTCTTCGAATCCACGTCGTCTTTACCTCCGCAACCAATCCCTCCCGTACCTCCAATTCATTCGCCATACTTTTCCAATTGCTTTGCGAATCACACTCGGACGCAGTTCAGAAAATTAAATCGAAGAAGGAAATAAAATGAAACGAAGAGGAAGAGGAGGCGAAAGAGTTACTCACCGTCGTCGATGTAGGGGCTACCGAGAGTCTTGTCAGCGAAGACGGCGAACAAGCAAAACAACAAGAACAGGCTGAACTTCATGTCTTCCTCTCGAATAGAGTAATCAAGGATCGATTGATACGTGTACCGGGCTAGCTGACTCGTACTCGTGGAAGGATTCGTACCCTTTCCTGACCGTGGTCGAGTTGCAAGTGAGGTTTCCACGTCGGACCGGTAGCTTATATAGACGCGGGAGGCGTGGCGATCTCGCCCCCACGAGGATCTCTTTGCGGAGGGTGAGACCGTGGATAAAACTTCGGTTCGAGGTTCCACGCGCTCGTTCCGCGATGTCTAGACAACGTTGTACTCGCTGCTTTACGAACCAGGTTGGCGGAAGGTTCGTAAACCCAGGCGAACTTAGAAAGTGGAGAGGTGAAAGGGGCAGGGGGTGGTGCTTTTTCGAGGGAATGCCACAGTGAGCTTAGGGTGGCCACCACCCTTTGAACGAGCAACTGGTTGCGAAGCAACTGGTACCATCGCTGTGTGCCTATCGGTCCGATTATGCCGCCCGTAATACGATTTACGTTTCCGTCACGTTTCCCATCCGGCTTACCTTCCATCGCTTCATTTATTTTGCATCTACTTATTTCTGCGTCCGCTCTTCTTCGGACGTATCTATCCTGAAATAAGATTGCGGAAAGAACGTTTTAAGATGCTGGTGTCGAAGGCGAGTTTGAAAGGGTTGGCAAAGAGAAGAAGGAAGGATCAGACCACGCAACATGAAATATCGAGGGTTTTTTCCTTTTTTTTTTCTTTTTTTTTTCTTCTTTTTTCTTTTTTTATAGAGAAAGTTTGATACGATGGCCTTTTTACGGGGATTTTACGTTCCCGTTCCGTGGTGTTATTTTGATGTTAGGCGAGGGTTGAATCGACACGGTAAAAGGATACGAAAAGGGTTGGGAAAATTTTTGATCTCGGAGAACGGCAAAGTTAATATTTGATAAAAGTTCATAGGGCAAGTTTCTATAGCTCCACCTACGATACAAAATATCTCACCGATATGCGTAATACAAACTTCAATGGAGAGTAATAAATGAAATAAATAACAATTAACTGTTTGAATATCGATACGCGAAGAATTAATGTAAGGCGAACAGTATAATTATAACTAAAAGCGAAAATGAACCGAAAGATAAAATACCTAAAATTTACCTAGATAATCCTGCAGTTATGAGACACGTGTATCGTTAAATTTCCTCCCTCGAATCTGATCTTCCCTCGTTGCAAAATTCAATTTACGTTCCGTTGTATTCGCAGCTTCAGCACCGTGTCTGCTTTCGTTTATACATTCCCGTTTTCAGTGGATAAAATTGTGCTTGTTTTAACTATCATTGGTTTAAATATCGTCTATTATACTCGTAGTCATATCGTCTACGCATCTACGGTAACATTAATCCACGAGATACAGACACCTGTTTATTTTTAATTAACGGGCAAGTTTATAGCAGTTTCGAAAAACCGCCCCACGCGAATATCTTTCCTCCTTTCATTCGTTATCTCTCATAATGTATCATTCCATCCTGCCAGTCAATTACGAAACCGTGGTTATCTGGCCCTTTTTAATAAGCTGGTTGCTTGTTATAACACATTAATCTTCCTGTATACCAAACAGTGGTACAATGGATGTTAGTGGCAGGGATTAGAGAGGCTATATTTTATACTTCTCCGCGTAGTCTTTGCGCGTATATCCATCCGCGCAATGAAAAATTATTTTCACGTTGTTCCGTCCTTCTGCTTGCGTAGCTAGTAGTTTCGGGCGAAAAACGAATCTCGGTTAAGTGAAATTTGTATCATATACCGATTATCGTTAGCTTTGTAGCGAGAAATCCAGAAACGTTCTTCTTTAATTTGCCGTTAAAAAATGTATCGAGGATGCTTGTTAATTTCGAAGTAGTATGTAGTACGAAATATTTGCAATTTTTCCCTCAAGATTCATTTTTTGAACAAAGTGTATTCTTTTCAGTAAATTCAATCAATATGATTTGCAAAGCTAACAAAAATCTATTTATCGCAAAAGTTTATCGTGAATCTCGTCTCTTGGAAATGAAACATCGACATTTTCTCCACTCTTCTTCTCATTTTTTCTTCCAAAGAATAAAATGGCTTATAATTCCGTTTCACCGTCGAATCTCCAGTTAATTCGGCCGTTTAATTCTGAAAACGCATTGGCTCGCTCCGTCGCACTGCGACGATTGGAATTGAATGCGATTCGGTTGACTCAGACTTTGTATCATTTACGTTCCATAATCGCAGTTCCGAACAATGTTTCAATTACCGTTGATAAATACCGAAATTTTACATTCGTTAATACTAATTTAATACTAATTTAATCTCAATGTGTATTAACGTATTGATAAAAGTTTAATTCGGTATGCGCGATACTTGCTAGCGCTTCCTAGCGCTTCTACTCGGAAATGTATACTGTATGAGTCAGAGAACGACATTCTCTTCTGCGCGTAAATTCCTGCAAGAAACGGTATCCATTACGATAAAGGAAAAGAAAATGCAAGGTCATTTACGTTTGTTGTCGGCACAACGAAACCTCAAATTTACATACTTTTTTCTATTCGATGTTCGTATGTACTCGTAATAGAATAACCGTTTGCCATATTATCGATACAATATTATGAAACTAAATTAAGACTGTCGGTGGTATTTTTTGCACGAAGGCCACTCTGTGTAAAAAAAATATTTTTTACGAAATAACTGCAACGAATGCGTGCAAGAATTGTTGCGAACTTCCGATATCGTATCCGATACCGTGGGTTGCAACGTACGTTTCCAGTGACGTATCGTACGGCTGACATCGTTGAACGAAATTGACCGAACGAATCAACCTTTAGCGTGGATTTACGTAATAGTTATTTTAAAAGTTGCTTGAAATCGATGCTTTATAGATTGCTCTTTGGATTATCGAAATCTCTCGATTTGATCGCAGTCGGAATTTTACCGTTAAAAGCTTCTCAAGAGCTTACGTTTGGAAATAAAAAACGATAGGTATCGTTATCGGTCGAACAAACACTCGAAATGAAATTTTTTTAATCATTCTACGTTAAATCAAATGTTTTTCGAGATTGAATCTTGCAAAATCTGACATTTGTAAGTTAAAAATTTTGCAGATTACGATATTAAATTTAACTTTCCGCAATTTCAAGTTCCAATTTAATTCCTCAGAAATGAAAAATGCCAATTCAAAGTAGCGAATCCATAAGATTTAAGAGCTTCCACCTTCTTCTTTCTTTTCTTCTTTCTTTCTTTCTTTTTCTCACGTTATTTCCCGTGATTCGTCATCGATGAATCACTTACGTAATTTCCACCCACTCGATCGGCCATCCTAAACCGACCCTAGAAACTCTATGCTACAAAATAACGAAAGATGACTTCGACAGGAACTTGGTGAAAATGAACAGAATAAACTCGTTCGTCCTCTGAATTCCGGAAACAGCAGCAAAAAAGACAGGCGCACCGAAGAAGCCTCGTTTGTCTTTTGAGGAGGGTTCGCAGGATAGGAGCGTGGGCAGAATAGCAAGAGGGCTGTAGACGTTAAAGGATACCTATAAGGTACGAATTGCCTCTTGCGAGTAACGAGGCGAAAATATTGCTCAGACAGCCAGAACTGTTGCCAGGCAACATTGTTACTTGACGAAAATTAATTACTCCGTGTCATTACAAACAGCGTAACATTTTAATTATGCCTATCTTGTTACAGCACACGATGTGTACGTGTATTCGGCCCTGCTACAGATCCTCGAGATTATCTCCGCTCATTTAGATATTTTGTCTTCTTAGAATCCTTTAAGCGAAGAATTCGTTCGAAAGAATTTAATATTTATCGATCAAATAGAACGTATCGTTGATAAAACTTAAAGCGTATCGCAAATAAGCTAACTTTAATAATACGAGAATTTATACTATTATACCGTTCATCCTTCAAGATATTCGATTAATCTTAACGAAACTTCGCATGTCGATATTGAATCGTTACCGAGGTTAAAATAGAACATGGATATCTATTTTTCCAACCTTAAACGACGAGAGAAGCAAAAAAGAAGGGAAGCGAGAGGAAAGAAAGCGTAGGCGACTCGCATCAACAAGGACGTACCTATAACAGGGAAATTCGATGTCATGTCCTAATTGGCGTTTATAGTACACAAGGGTACCATGCCTCACCTCTTGTTATATCGTCCTCTATAATGGATCGCGAGAAATCGGAGAATTATTAGACGTCGAGAAGCCTTCCTTTCGTATCCCTTTATCGTTCATTTACTTCACAAATTTCTCAACCTCTTCACTACGAATTTTCCTTTACGATCAATATTGCTTATTATCAAGAATTAAAGTAATATCGATAACAGATCGGAAATCTTCTAAACAAAAAGTCTCGTACCTACTACACCTAACCTTCCTTTTCTTTTCTCAACTCATTGTCAACAGTATAGTAAGTTAGTAAGATAGGCAACTTCAAGGTTTTTGTAACCTTTTCGTTGAATTTTACCAGGCATGATCGTTGATCGTTGCGAGAAATTTGTATAACGTTCGTATTATAAATAAAGAGAAACCATGCTTCTAGAAGTGGAAGACGAAGTACGTGATTTTACAACGACATATAAAAAGGATTTCCCATCGAAGAAAACTGGTAGACCAAAGGAATACAGACCACAAGCCGAGTACCCTCCGCCTTTGAATAATTTAAATGGTCCTTACAGAAAGTGTTTGAACACACAACGACAAAATGCTGCTCTTACCTTAAACGAACAAACCGAGGATTCACAACAAGCTTTAAACAGAGTAAACAAGCAACGATATTTGCTATTAACAATTAGTATATGAGCAATACCTCGTAATAAATATTTTTCTATTACCATGTTGCATTATAATTTTAATGTAGCTCGTCGTGGAGTTAAAGTACATCGCGTGGATTTTCAAAGCACACTTTAAACATGTAACAGTGTTGATATAACTTTCAAATATTTAGATTCGCAAGAAATACCGGCATTTAAAAGAATTTCTTTCCGAAGTTGTACCGGATGAGGATCTAATCGAAAGAGAGGAGAACAAACTTAAACAAACTGTGTATCAAATGGAATATTCAAAAGGTTTTATTTTATAAACGAAACTACAATTTCATTTACATGTATATTTTAAAATGAAAATTTGATAATATTAGGAGATTATTCACCTCGTGCGAAAACATATGGAAAATGGAAAGACATTCGTTTACCGGAAGACTGGATCATATCGGAAACCACTCAAACCAACTCCTACAGAAACCCATGGAAAATTGCAACGGAAGACTTGATACGGCTAAAGAAAGCAAAGAAACCTCCAGACAATTTAGTACCCAATAGAAAAGAAAGAGAAATTCTTCGTATAAGGTAAGAAGGCAAGATTACGACAGTTCTGTTGGCATAGATAAATATTACTTATGTTTTCTCGACCAATCGCGGGGAGAGACGTCAACGGCAGTCGTAAATTCCCATTACGATTATAGAAATCGACACTACGAGTTGATCGATCCCCTGATTTCCGTTAAGATAATAGGGGTGATTGAGTTAGTATAACACTGTGATTCATAGAATTATAAGGTTTATTTTCAACGCTTAAGTTACACTGTTGAGTAGATAGAATTCCTAGATGACAACTTGTCACCCGAAGGTAAGATAGATATGCACGCTAGAGCAAGGCTCTTTTAATCGAACTTCGTATGTTAGTGGACGTAGCACTAGAGGATACTTAATAGAGCAAGTGATTGTTCGTACTTAGACTTAGACGTTAGAATTGTACTTAGTTGCTGTCTCTTCTAGCGGTGTAGAAGAAGTAGTTGACTTTTCCAGCGATGTAGAAGAAGTTTGACTTGACTCTCCTGAGGTCGTAGGAGCAGTAAGTTACAGTGACGATGCTGTGTCGTAGGACAGCTAGCAATCGAGGTGTCTAACGCACGGGACCATCGGATTTGTTCACGATACTTTTGGTCAGGAAGTGAGGACAGTATACATTGCTTCTGATTGGATAAACGTAGGTTGTTGGACTAGGAAGGGTCTTAGCCGCCCGCGATAGAAAGTTGCTATTAGGAAGCATCGTACGTGGGAAAACCCAGCTTTCCCTGGTTAAGCCGTGGTAGACAATAGTCTTTAAAAAGTGATTTAGAAAAGATATTTGTACGGTCTGAAGGACCTTAGCAAGCAAATTAGTGGGATTTATGACGGGTACTTAAGGCTATTGAAGGTACGTCGTAAGGATGAGCGGACATCTGGTGTCCGCCTGGCCGGCGGTATATGACCTGGTCTAGGTAAACGGTCGCCCGACGTAACAACTTATCCACTAGTAAATTCGTAGTAAATCCAATAAGGATTAAAATGTCCCGAGCAACGATTATTATCATTTGTCTTTTATAAAACTTTCCTACTTATATACATAATTCTGTAGTAAAAAAAAAAAAAGTATCCGCCATTAATTCTATAGGTTGTTACAATTTATTCTTTCTAGAACTGGAGATTCAGAATACGATGCAAAGATAGGTGCTACCGGAAATCGAGTAGTAAAAGAATGTTTGTTCGGTCCACCGTTACCTGTTGAACCACAAATATACACTAAAGGACCCGACAGTCCACCGTCTGAATGCTCGGAAATACTGGCAGACAAGAAATTTGTACTTCCTTCCAACATAATCTAATCTTTTGTCCGATCTTCCCGTTATCTCCCATTTTCACCAGAATAACATTATTTTCAGTAATCACTTATTAAAATTAAAGATAAGCTATTGGCGAAGGATTACGTTAATTAAATCATCAGACACGAATTATTACAAAACACAACCCATGTTGTTTTGCTTGTACATAGCCACTTTACAAATATATTATTTCCTATTTTCACTCAACTTAATTATTCATTTACAATACAATAGTTCGCATTCACGCTGAACACACAGTATCACATTCCACGTAAATCTTTCTTACATTACATTCGTACAAGTTATTTACAATTCTACCCAACTTTAAGATCATTTAACTTTAAGATTATTTATGTACGAAGGTGAAACATTTCATCTCTTTTTATTTCAATTTCTTTACGTCTGTAAAAAAAGAAGGGTGCTGTATCTTAATATGTATTTCATCACATATCAAGAGAAATTAATTATCGTGATTTCCCCTTTCGAAAACTAACATTTGAACTTTAGAAAAATACCATTTTAATAATATGTAAGAGATATATGTAAGAAAAAGCAAATAATAACCTAAATATTGCAGAATTATTAACGATAATGTTACATTTATCCGCATATAAATAAAATAATATAATTTTATAAAAGTTTCGAAACAAAATAATTTTTTAAAAGTTTCGAACGCAAATCCGATCTTAAATGTAAAGTTGAATTAATTTTTTAATAAATTTTCAAAGATTCCAAAACCATTCGGATAAATTACACGTTACGTAGCCTCCCTTGTTCAGCCACAATATCCAACATTTCAAGATTAAACATGTTATTTACATAAGCCACTGCAAAAAATATGACTAACTTCTTATAATATATTCTTAACAATTAACTATATTCCATAAAGCTTTTTATCCGATTAAATTAATTGTACTCGCACGTAAAATTGTACAAAAAGTCTTATCGATGTACACATTTTTTGTATTTTGTTCATTCATCGTTATAATGGAAGCTAAGATTAATTCATTTATAAAATCTAATCTAAAAATAGTACCCAGCACGTAACAATAAATTACATAGTTCAGTCTCTCGATTGAACGTGGTGATATGATTTGTAGAAAAATTTACACCTTTTGAAATTATAAATTTGATATGTAACACTGCAAGCATTTTCTTATGTACACAAAGTAGTACCACATACCTTTCATCAATTTCACTATAATGAAAGTTGATCTAATTTTGAATCCAATTTTCCGTTATACCGTGACATAATACTAGTAGCAATAGTGTTAACCAAATCTATGCCAGACTACGCACAAATTAAAAAAATATAAGTAAACCTTTTCGTAACCTTTTCATAGTATATACAGTTTTGATGATTCTTCACAGCATCTTGTTTTCAGAAACTGTTTGCATTATATCTCGCACCAAGTTGATTATTTACAAATTATACTTTTGGAGATTAATGCAAACATACGTAGAATGTCATCGCTAACACATTTTTCGTTTTTGACTGATTAATTGTTCGTGCGTCACCTCAACTTCTAGTTTAAACATTTATTTACATCAAGCAGTTGTTCGAGGTAACAATATCGTCTTGAGAAATCATTTCCTGAAGGGGAATACCTTGTTTCTGTAACAAATGTCCAGACTTAAACTTACTTCAAAATTTTTGTACTTGGTTCAGAAAAACATTTATATTTACTTCAATGACAATCGTCGATGCCATATTATCTGTGTCGTGATATTGTACACCTACATTTGCTGCTGTTATTGCTATAGTACGAACGGTATTGGTGCTGGTCGAAGTTGTGATGTGCTGGGTAATCATGGCGTTTTCATTTGCTCTACTGGAACCATTACACTCTTATATGCGTAAAATAATGAATGAGACACTGTGTTTGTTTCGCATAAAGAACTATAATAAAAAACAGATATATATATACATATAGAGACTTACTTTCGTTTCTTTACTTGACCGGAATGAAAACGACCGCCCTCGCCACGAATTCTATTCATTGCATGTCGATGACGAGATTCGTGGAGGTATTTCTGTAAGAAAATGCTAATTTCATGTAAAATGCATAAGCAACAAAACATATAATATAAAATTAACCGTAACTAAACATATATTTACAGGTCTTTCTTTAGGTATCTTCCCCTCAGCTTCTAATTTAGCCCGTGCTTGACGACGTTTTAATATACGCCTATATTGCTTAGCATTTACATATAAAGGTTCTTCCTCAAAAACTTCTGCATTTGGCAATGCCACCCTTTGAAATTGCGTTTGTCCGCTATTTCCTGGTACCATCTGAATCATCAAAAACCACGTATGTTTAAATGTCTCGACGATACCTAGTTCATATTAAACTAACTATATACTTAAATTTTGAACTAAAGAAACTATATAGAAAAAAAGACATTATGCTGTCCTTGTCGCTCCATAATCACTACAAGTCGGTATAATATATAATACACAGACTATGTAAGTGAAAGAGACACTTTAATAGTAATCACCATGAAAACATTTCCTGCCTGAGTCGCTGCTGCTGTAGGACTTGCTAAGGGTTGTACTGGTGTTGTGGTTGCTGCGGTAGTTGCCGGTTGCGACGTTGCTCCAGCAATTTGCATAAGATTCCCATTTATATTAATTACTACTCAAAAAATATGAAATTAGTATATAAATTTTACAATTTAACAACTACGTTAATCATATACTTTTATACCTGTTGGCTGTGCTTGCTGAACTTGACCCTCTAATTGTACTGGCTGATAAATGTATGTTTGTCCATCTGGAGTTTGAATGATTTGAGGTGTTTGTGGCTGTTGAATTACTATTTGTTGGCCTGTACTAGTTAAACTAGACACAGGAACAACTTGTATTTGTCCATTTGGTGCTGCCATTTGTATAGCTTGTGGTAACATCATTGCTTGACCTCCTTGGCCCATTTGAACAACCTGGACGGTTCCTCCGGCACTACCAACCACAACCGCCTGCCCTTCACCCAGTTGTTCCATTGTAGATTACTCCTATCGCTAAACAAAAGACATTGACCTCACAACAAAACAAAGACAGAATGCAGTTATATTGGGAAGTAAATTAATAGAAAGCCAAGTATAAATTCTCCGATGGAAAAAGATAGGTTTAACGCGACAAAGATCACTACATGCATGTATGTACATACACAAAGACAAAATTTGTGTATACACGTGAACTCGTATATACGAAAGTTCCATGAATCATGCAGGGGAACTTTCGTGTTTGTTGTATCAAACTGAAAATAAATAAATGGAATGCGTAGACAGGTTAGAGTCTCGATGATTTCTTTCATTCTGTCGGGCATAATTTTGTCTCGTACGCATTGATAAAGATCGCCAACGTGGCGAACACATTGAGGTCTAAAGAGCCCACGTGCAGAATGTTAGATACGTAGGAAAGAGAATCGAGGCCAGCCAGCAATCATCACCTTCTGTCGGGCAGAAATCGGTTCCGAAGGATATTGCATCCTGTTCTCGGTGGCATGATCAACGTCGTATTTTCGTGATCCTTAACACGCAGCGAACGTCGACGTACGAAACGAAGACCAAGTCTGCTGGATGGTATTCGGAATGTATGGAACGACGCGAATTTTGGACGAGAAACGCTCGTCTCGACAAACATGGCCGTGCGGAAAGACTTTTTCAAGCACAAGAAGACACGGGTTCGCAATTCGAACAACTCACAAAACGAAAACGCGGTTAATCGTACAACGATGCGCGGCCGTACGCGTACCCCGTTGATGTTTGATAATTTGTGGACTTACATTGGATATTTTCGTGGGCACTTTCCCAATGATTGGTCGGCAAATTGAGGACCAATGGTCGGCGATAGAGAGTCCTCGGCTCTTGTGTATTGGTGGTACTGAACGGGGGGACCTGCCAGTCCGATAGCAGCCCGATGCCAGACCGGTCGATGCCCCTCCGCGCCTCGACGCGCCCAACCAATCTACTGGCTTGACTTATCCCCACCACCTACTTCCCGCGCTCTCGTCAAACTTCGCGCGTTCCTAACAGCTCATTTCCCGCTTCCTTTTAAATCGATTTACCGATGTACTATCCGTAGTGATCACTTCTCCACATTTTCATTATTCCCGCATTCATTTACCGAATAAAATTTTATAACGAATTACGTAATTCAATCCTACGATATTTAAAAATAAATGCTCTATATACTGAATAATTCTGTTCGAAGTCAAAGTTTCTAAATCTTAAAATAGTATTAGAGTAGTGGGATGGTAGCATTCGATGTGTAAAAGGTGGAGCATTTAAATACGAAAAGAAAGTATTTTTATAAATATATTTTACGAAATAATAAATAACCAATATTGACGGTCTTTATGCGTTTGTGCATATAGCTTTGATAACAAATTAATTCTTACAATTTTCAATAAATGTAATTAATAATGTAACAAGTGCGGCTTATACAACGTTTGTTTAATCATCGTTTATTGTTGACTATAATTAAGTTTATCTAATACGACTGTTATTCACGAAACAATATATAATTTCACAATTTATATTGTTTATTTATCATATCGCAATTCATCAATTAATAAGATAATAATAATATCATATCAATTAAATAAGAGATGATAGCGGATTATGATAACTATTATAATTTTAATAAAATATAAAATTAACAAATTTTGATGAACGAAATACATATAAGAAAAGTGGCAATGAGTAAAGGATATAATATTAGTAATAGTACTAATTTATATAAATATCACATGTGTATGTTTAAGTTAAGAACTCCTTCTCGCTTGAAATTGTACATACTTTTTGCAACACTGTAGCAAATATAAAATAAGAACAAAATACGTACAATATAAAAAAGACAAAGATTTGCATGGTAATTAAAATATACACTTTAATATGAGTAACGAAATATATTCCAGTCGCATTCGTGAATATTAATTGTTACTGAATCTACATATTAACTACCGTGTTTCATATAATGCCGTTTACGTATATGAAATATTTTTAACGCTGATAGAACGTTAACAAAAAACAGTTAGTTATTCGCTTGATAAAACATAATTTTGCAAATTTTAATGCGAAAAATGATAAATTTATAATATATGATTGCGTTTATTAAATTATGACAAAATAGCCCTTTTATATTGTTTCTCGATATACATCTTAGTGGAGATTAATAACAGTGGTTTTATCTTTTTACAATATCGTATATAAATTATGGAAAAGCACTACCAAATGCAGCTTTTTCATTAAAGACTGGTCGTTTGGAAATATATTAACTTGTAACATCTTAAAATAATTATGTATATTCAGAAAAACTGTCAAGCCATTTTAACATTTTGTTATTAAGAAGTAGTACCTGAACTTTTGTCTACGATACACCAGATTATAATGCTTCATCGATATTCAAATTCAAGTAAGATAGGATGGAGCTAAAAGTCCAGGGTATAAAAAGTCCCAAATTTAAGATCTTCGTATGACAAAGACTCGCTCGAGACGGACGCTCGTGTGCGAATGGCGACGAACGCTCGCTGTCTAAATAACATTATGCGATATTCAACCGACTGTTTACAAACGGAGATTTAAAATTCGGGGCATTTTACCCGTCGGGCGTTTAGCCCCACTCTATTCTAAAATCTGAAGTAAATTCAGATTAACATATCGAAAATTCATTTTGGAAAGATGTATAATGTTTTCAGTGTTGCGTAGTACGATGATCTCACTCAAGCAAGATGTAATCCTGCTGAGGAAATGCCAAAAGATCACGATAAAAAAGGAACTACTAAATCTTCCTTGTGTTCAACATTAACATCCTCTAATGCTGTCACAGCCTTATGGAGCATTTCTGTTATCTATAAATAAAAACATATATACAAATTAATAAATATTTAAATAGTAGGATGTTATATTGCATATAATATATGTTTACCAGTCCATGATCTTCAGCATCAAGAGGTTCTGCTGCCAATATCTTTTCTGGGGCAGGAACATCTTTGAGTAAGCAAGATGTACTATCAGGTACTTTAATACCTCCAGCTTCTATACGTTTAGAATATGCACGTGATCTATCCATATATTCGTGCTGTTCTAAGTTGTGTGAATCTAGTGCTCCAACATCTATTACATTACTGAAATTAAATATATCAACATAATTAATTGATCCTTATTATGATATTCTACTAAATAACTGTAAAAAAAAAAAAAAAAAAGGCAACATAAACATAAGGACTCAGAAAGGTAGAAGCAAACACTCACGCAGCTGTTTCATGTAAAATTCTATTTAATGCACTTTGTTCATCTGTTTTTTTGGGTGCTGAACTTGCATATTGGTTAACATAATCATCACTGAAAGGAAAAGAAATGAAAAAGCTTGAACAACTTTTATCTATATCATATATAAATATATATAAAAAGAACACACCTGTGTACTCTAGGTATATTTGTGTTATTACTGACAGGATCTACCAACAAATGTGTCCTTTCATTTGCTTCTCCACTCTACAAAGATAAACAGATAAATTACATGTTTTAATTAATTTAAATTCTAGTCTTTGAATTTTATTTCAATTTTATAGATGTGAATCATATAAGAATATAATATACATTTTGACTATTTCAGTCTTATATACGTAATCCGAATAAGTGAAATTGCGATAAAAGTTTATATGTATCTTTTAACATATCTAATGTTATACAATAAATCGAGCTTTCAAAACATCCCACTTGACTAAAATAATTTAATTTATTACCTGCGGATCGCTGTCTTCTTTGCAAAAACTGTAACAACATCCCATACTTATAAATGAATTGTTAACACTTTATAACCAGTGACGTATTGCTACAACGTATTATTTTTAATCTTCATTCCTGTATACAATCAAGTGAATCAGCTCTGGACGTGCCGATACTGCGCTTCAATCACTGTCCAGAAATGCAATATACTGCGAGAAGAGTGACAACTAAAGTGATTTATTGAGATGGATTTATGACTAAAAGAAACTGGCCAATTATACAAAGTGCAACGTGTGACAACCTTTTTAAACCAGATACGAAAACGCTAACAAAAAGGATATGGACATGCGAGATACAACCTTCCTCTGGTGGGATTTATAACGTACTAAATCGAATAACATAACCTTAAATATTCACAAGATAACGAGTGTACGAATTTATCGTATTACGTTGTTGTCTAAATTATTATCCATCAAAATATCAGACTTATCTTTTTACTATATAATATCGTATAAGTTCTATATACAGATTTATACATGTATGTCATTCAACAAAATAGTATACTAAAATAGAAAAGGAAATGATTTTTCAACTTTCTATATAAATAATACATATTCATTTCCAATTTTTTCTTAGACATTAATAAAAACTGTTGAATTATATTTTTCTAAATTAGTAATATAATGATAATATTATATATATCTTTAAATCTAATAAAATTGTTATTGTAACTGGTAACTGAATAGTATTAAGGAAATTTTAATTAAAAATACATCTACATCATGGCAAGTATCAAGGTGTGTTCATTTTTACATTTTAATTCATTGATATATTGTATATATACATTTAAATATAATAATATCTTTAATACGTAGTTCTATTTCCAGGAATTACCAGAATTAGAAGTCTTTAAAACAGTATTATTCCACTGTATGGTGATAATAGCCTTACCTGTATTTTCATTTTTTGCTAGCAAGATTTTTATTTTTGATGGTATGGAAACAAACAATGCTATTAGAATGTTTAACTTTTTTACGTACATTTAAAAAATTATATTTCGTTGATGATATTTAATAAAATTATATATATATATATATATATATATATATATATATATTAATTCAATAATATATATATATATATATATATATATATATATATATATATATATATATATATATATATATATATATATATATATATATATATATATATATATATATATATATATATATATATATATATATATATATATATATATATATATATATATATATATATATATATATATATATATATATATATATATATATATATATATATATTAATTCAATATTTAGGGGAAGTATCTAACAATAAAATAGTTTAACATAAACACGAGTAGTAAATAATTCTTGAGAATATTTGAGAATATTTTTTGCATATTTTTTAATCTAGTAGCCAATATTTTATACCTTTTATGTACAAACTTTATGAATTGGAATGTTACATATACATAAATTACTTAATACAGTACATCACAATATATACTTTTGATTATTACACATTAATTGTGTAATAATCAAAATATGATATACACATATTTACGAATATAATTTTGACATCGTATCAATATTTTAAACAAATTTTTATACATTTTAGGATTATTGGGGCTCGATCAAGTGCCAAGCAACGTGTATTCAGCTGGAGTTGCAATCCTTGTCTTACACGTAGCTTTGGGCGCTTTTATATATCGCGCATACTTCGATGATCAATCGAAGACACAGACGAAACGAGATTAATCACTTTTTTTTTTTTTTGTATTTGAAACACATATGTGATTAAGTACACTTTTTTGATAACACATTTATTCGCGTATAATCATTGAAAAAAAAAACATGTTACATTGTATTGCGTTACATTCTGCAATTGCATACTTTTTTGTTAATGTTTCGATATTTTTCTCTTATTTTTTCCTTCTTTTTCTTTGTTTAGTGATGTGAAATTGCATGAAGGACGAATATAACTATACTTGTACCAATTAATGAAACGTAATTATTAAATAAAAAGAAGCAGTGACATTCCTACACAATATTTGCATATTGTACAGCACAAACTATACATATATCTATATGGAATATGATTCCATTACATATATTTTGCTTTTATATTTGAGAAACCTTGTAGTAGATTAGTTCATAATTTCTAGTGCCTCAATAAATCACACCAGATACATAAATTAATTGTAGTGCACTTTACCGATCACAGTACTAGATCAGGGGCGAATTTATAATCCTTTGTAGTATTTAGGCTGATAATTTCGAAACAGCTACTTAAAAAGCTACAAATACGAATTTTTAGAAAGGGGAATAAAATACAGAAGATTATTACTAAATTTCAGTACAAATCCGCCCCTAATAACGCTGAATAGTAGTCATGTACTTTATTTCTACCTTTAAGGAAGAATAAATAACAAAATAAATGGTGATCAATATACAATGCAACACAATATACTACTGATTCCTTTTTAGTACCAATGAACAGTACCGTTGCAACAACTATAAAAAAAGATATTTATCAAATTAATTAGAACACAATTTGAAAGGCAAAATATTTTACTTTTATGAAAAACTATGAATTATGTACAATATACCTAACTATAATTTCATTTCTCGTAATTTCATGTCATCAAAGCTTTGACAATGTTGAAATATCATAAAATATACACGATTCAAGTTAGCAGCCCTTTCAAACATACAAAGCTGTAAGCAAATCCTAGAACAAGCTTAATAAACTTCTTTAATGAAATATTAATTTATTTAAGTATCTTAAATGCAACAAAAGTTTGTGTGACAGAATATTTTGCTGTCGGCCTGGGAAGTATTGGAATGAATGCTTATTGTAATTAAATACATAAAATCGCCTGCGATATTAACTACTTCACAATTTAATTTAGTCATTAGCTCTAACTTAATACTTGTTCTATACATTATAGGACACAATGTATTAAATCTTACTGGCAATGAAATCAGGGATCTCTTTAGAGTGTTCCACTGATAAAAATTTTGTTATGCTTTCCTAAAAGCATATTAAAGCTTGAAGAATTTCGTAATTACACTACAAAAATAATATTCCTGTAACGTCCTAAGAAATAAAAAGATCGTTACAAATATCGTGTACTTTTAACTGAATTGATTATTTTTCATAAACGAATACAGTGGATACATATACACGTGTCAAAAAAGAAATTTTTTTTATTCGTTTTTATCAATATAAAACGAAATTTAAAAGTGTCAGCGCCTATCATTATTTATTCCGTGTTCACCTCTATTTTTATAGAAATTTACTTGAATGAAATAATTTTATAATGATATATTAGTTAAATTAATTGAACGTAAAATATACATACAACTTTGTTTAAGTGATTTACAGAAAAAAAATTCTTCAAATTTCAATATACTTAGATTAATGATAGTTGTTCTTAAATAGGTTAACTTATCAATAAATTGCAGCAAACTTAGCAATAAATTGTGATGGGTAAAGAAAAGAAAAAACAATCGCATCTGCTAACTAAGAACATATCAGGCGCTTTTGTGACATGATAAAAATGACTTGTGTAATGACATATTTTCGTTATTTTAATCATGGTAGATTTAATAATATTAAACACACATAAAATTGGATGACCGTTACTCAACATCCATTTTCTCTTCCTGGGGTTGTTGTTGTTGATTGGTTTGAGAGTGAGCATCACCTTGACTATTTTGATTATTTTTCTGATGATTTTCAGAAGCTTTGTCTTTAGGTTTCTCTTCTTTTGGTGGATCGACTTTAGGTTTTGGTTTATTTAAAATTGGTACTACAACACTATCCAGTGACTGTTAAAACACAAAGAAAATATGTAAAAGGCAATATGTATAAACGTATTATCAGTTATACATTAAATCAGATATATGCTTCAAATACCTGTTTCTCTGCACGAATTTGAGCTACAGTAACTGGCGGTTGTTGTGTGCGAGGTGTACTGGCAAGAAGCATGCGTTTTTCTTCTAGCCACGTCCATTTTTCTTGCACTACTTTTTCAACCTTCTTTACCTCTTCTTCTGTTAGGTGGGAATATTTATCATCCTTTCCATTGGACGATCTAATGAGATCTATCCCTTTTTTAGCAAGTTGCAAAGCTCCTGCTAATTCATCAAGAGCATAGCCTCTGCCTTCAAATTCCATTCGTCTTTCTTTAATTGGTTCACCTTGTGACTAAAAAAAAAAAAAAAAAAACACAATTTTCAATTTTAAAACGAAAATGTTTATTTGGTATCTAATAAAAAGTATAAATGTAACTTACCTTAAGGCGTGTTAACCGTTCTGAATAAACTTGTCGCTGGCAATCTTCACCTTCTTCGTACAGCCAATTTTCAGTTTCATCTAATGTACAATAAAGCGTTTCTTTGTCATCTTCCGTAACAAATGTGGACAATTGATCCTCCTCCGACAGCTTAGCACGTAAATCGTAAACATATTCTTCTAATGCGTTACGGGCATCAACACGTTCCTTTTCCTGTTTATCTTCAGCGATCATCTTGGACTTGGATGTAAAAATATATATTTGTCGGGTTTACATTAAAGTTAGGGCTAGGGTTAGGGTTAGGGGCGTGAGACGGAACTTCGTTTGGATTACACATTGTCGTTATGCAATAGAGAAGACATTGACTAGTGCAAATACGATTATTATAGAATTGGACAAGTAACCGTGGTAATTAGATACTCGAGAAACTAATGACAATGATCCTAGGTTCAATAACGAATCCGCGGTCAACGGGATGATAGATGAACATGCTCACAAAATCTAAGTCGGATTCTTGGTCAAAACGTGGAATATCCACCGAGCGTACAGACACTAAGTAACTCGCTAATACGACCTCACGAGAGAATGACTTTCCGTCGCGATGATGCTGCGGAGGAAAACTATGATGGGGTGTGTCTAAGGGCACGAGATCATCGGATTCGTCGAGGATAGACTTCGTTCAGAAATTGACGTTGCTGTTAAAATTGGTCAATCTCCATATCGGTGGTTAGAAAAAGATGCTAGCCGCCCTCGTGGGAAAGTTGCTAGTGGGAGACGTCATTCCTTGAAAAAAATAGATCTCCCCTATCTTCCCGTAGTTGGGACAAAGACTGTTTGTCTGTTTGAAGGACTTTAGGTAACCAGATCTTAGTGTTTATAACGGCCCTCGGGCTAGCG